CACTGAGATCCATTTCTCCCATCACAGCCATCACTCTGACCAGTAGAAACACAGAACGATCTGCTGCCGTAGACAACTGTATGACAACAACACCCCAGCATTTTTAGTATTTTCCTCTAGGGATGTTACCACACAGAGTAAAAGGGGGAAATGATGGTGTGAAACAGCAGAGGCACTTTGTCAACCCGCTGAGTTAACGTTACTGTCATTAGCATCAAGCTAGCAAACAATGGTACATCCTCACGGTCGGACATAAAGTAATAAGCATTAACACAACTGCAGAGGCTCCCAGCTTCATTTGAAACAACTACATTATAGATTAATATTATTATTTATTAATCGCTCTATGTGTTTATATATTTTTTATCCGCTCCGTTGTCTTTGTAAAGTTAACATATCGCACCTTCATTTCAAACTCAACACTTGTTTCAGATTAAAAGCCCCTTATAACCTCGGCTGAGAGAATCCCTCCATTTTCTAAATAGACTTTTATTCTGAAACATTTGTCAGAACTTCCTGTGGAAGATACAGTAGCTTGACAGTTTACATATGGCGCTTCAAATGTAGCTCCTGCCATCTGCTGATGCTTTTAGGTGACTACAACAACATGTCGGCTGGCACATATTTTTATACAGTCTATGGAACAGACACAGTTCTGGCAGTGACTCAAATAATAGTCAAAGTAATAAAAACAGGACAAGAATAACCGGATGACATCACACACGCCGTGAAAGACGACCGGGGATAATTGGTGAGTACCAGCGTGTAGCATGTACCAGGCATAATGCAAGTCCTGAGTCTGAAATATGTCTGTCAGCGAGTCCCACTCCACCTATTTAGACAACAGCAGCATTTCTCCTACCACGTAGCGAGCCACAAGCTCCATGGCTTCTTTCAGACTGGTTTAACTTTATCTCCGTTATTAGAACCAAACGACAGCCATTGCTGTTTCGGAGCTGAAGGACCAGCGTTCTAAAAGTAATGGAAGTAACTGATGTCTTGTTTGAAAATGTACTTAAGTATTTGATTACTCAAACAGCAAACTAATGCGTTACTGCAAAAAGTAATCAAAGTACTCCCAACTCTGGTTATAAGTAACATGAACATATCTTTATTTAGTTACTTTATCCAACATCTGTTGTCAGACTGATCACCCTACACCTGTTACAGGATCACTGAAAGGGTACAACAGATTCAGAGACATTTGTAAGGGCACAACATACTTACAAGGTATGTCACATCTTTTTCTTGGTCAATGTCAGTGAAACCAATGGGGACAGTGCTTTGCAAAACAGTGTACTTTTAGCAGAGAACTCCAATGACTCTTTCAATGTGTATCCTAAGAGATGCTAAGCATCTGGTGTTCTCAAAAGGATCTCCCTGTTCCTTGCCACAAGTGGATGCTGGAATCTTTAATTCAGCTTGGTAACACTGTACAGAATCTGCCAAAACTAGGTCTCCTGGGAGCAAATGAGACAAAAAAATACTTTGATCTGTGATGACATTATCATTCGTGCCGCCTCCCCAGCCATTAGAAATGAAAGAAATGGACCCTTGTGGGCAAATGGCAATTAAATATTTCATTGTATGGTATGACTTGTATGTTGAATAACATTGAGCACTGGCTAACAAGTTGCTAGGTTTCTCAATAAATATTTCAAAACAGTCAAGAATGCAAACTGTCTTTCCAAACGTACTGTTCCTAAATGCATATGGAAGAGATTTGCTTAATGATTCCCTGTCAGGCCATATAACTAGACTTGGCACTAGTCCCCAATACATGACACTAATGCAGTGTTTGAAAAGCTTTGAAACAGTAGTCGAATCAACACCAAAATAATAAGCCAAAAGGTCAAAAGACAAATTCATTCTCGGCTTAATTAAAGCCAGCATACACTGCTGAAATAGTGTTAGGCCAGACTTGTGTTTTAGATAGGGAGCTGCAAGACTAAAAACTGTCATCAGCAGTGAATATGTTGGTAAACCAGTGAAAATATTAACCTTTTTAGTGTTGTTTTGTAGACTTAATCTCATTTAGTCCAGTTCTATTCATTTTCTCTTTCAATAACATATTTTCAGTCCTTTTCAGATTTAATATGTTTCTTACAGTTTTCACTGGAACATGGTGGAGTTGCTGGATCATCATTATCATAAGGAATGGGCTGGAAATCATTTTCAAGTTCTTTCTGGGTTGATTGAACAATCAACCCAGAAAGAACTTGAAAATGATTTCCATTTTGCAGGAGCTTTTACTGTGAGATGATCTGCAGTAGGATGCTTGCTGCTGTCTTGAGGACAGGCTGTTGGAGGGGTTACTGGGGCAGCTGATGGTGTTTCTGCTTGCTCTCTTCTTTGGACTTTGGTCTTCTGTTGAATACATCTAACTGCATCCTCCTACTCTTCTCTGGAGATGGCACATGTTTGAAGATGGATGGGATGTACTCAGGTGACAAAGGGTTATCACTCTTTTTCCCTGAAACATTATGCAAATAGACATGTAACAGGTTTAGTACATGTTTAATAGATGTTTCAAAGTCTGACTCTTACATGAATCTCATTTTTAGAAACTATTACATGATCTTCTCATCCTTGTTGTAAACAGTAACAGATATGCAGACAGCACACTAACAATTAACAACTCTACTAATAAGATAAGATAAGATAAGATAAGATAAGATAAGATGAGATATATTTTTATTGTCCCCTGTAGGGAAATTTGTTTTGACCTCTTGTCTGTTCTGCAGCTTCACAAGTAAATGAATATAATAAAAATATACATCTAATATACACTTATACAACATATACACACACATACGCACGATTGCTTCCCTCCTGCTAACAATGAGAGAATCTAGTGATATATTGCACGATCCCCATGGCAAAACAATGACACATGTCATATCAGCAGCATTACATATAACTGTAATAAAATAATGAAAGTAATTTTCTTATCCCACATTTGTTTCGTGTTGCTCATTGAGTGAACAACATCCCTTTACTAGCTCCGCAAAATCCACGCCATAATTCAAAGGTCAAACTTGCCTTTTATGAAAATTAAACAGTTAGAAATCGTTAAAAAAGCATGTAAAATAAACATTAAAGTTAGTGAGCATCGGATTCTGTACCTGATATGTAGTGATCACTACACAAGCAGAATCCGTTGCCTGTGGGCTCCAACTGCTCTGTTTTCTTCTGCTCGCTTCAGGCACGTTTTATGGCAGTAATCCACCTCCGCCATCTTTCAGTATCTTTTGGGATTCGATAAAACGATCTCCCCTTCGCATGTCGACAGTTCTGACACCCTGGGGCTCAACAGTTGTGCACCATGTTCACTTTTATATGAATACAGCCCGGAGAAGAGACGGGTTAGCTGTTAGCTGTCCTATGCTTGGCAGTCAGTTGAACAGAGCGCTTTCCTGCCCATATGGCATTGTTTTGATTTCGACTGTTGCATACTAGGATTGCGTGATGTCAGCTACCTGAGCTCTATAGATCGATGTCTCACTGTAGACTAATTAACAGACATTAAACAGAGGAGCAGTACTGTGTCTCTCTTTGTGTTGATGGAGAAACTGTGAGTGAGTGTGTGGGGCAGAGCTATGCAGAGAGTGTGAGAGAGGAGAGATGAACACTGATATGCATTTTGTAACGAAATTTGACCCTACATCGATACAAACGGTATTGTCTAAATCTATATCTTGCTTGAAAATATATCGATATATCGTAAAAGATCGATATACCACCCAGCCCTACTATGGGAGTGACAAGAGTCAACCAAAACAGTAAAGTTGCAGACAGTGAGCAATGAACAATGAGCTGAAACTTATTACAAAGCTCTGTAAAGCTGAGGGGAGCTGCAGATTCAGCTTATCATTTTCTGTAGGTTTGTCATTATGAGCAACTCTTTTCAGGTTGCCATTAGATACACTGAAATTATGAAAATATTGGATAAACTTTGGTAAGAAATAATTTGGTTTTCTCTGCAAACTGAAGTACATCATAATGAAACTGACAGAAATACTTTTCTACAATTCAGTAATTATCATACACCAGCACCAGGAGGATTAGACACATTTGAAACTAATTATAAGACAACCATCTAAATAAGGTACACCAAATTCAGTGGTCTGATTTGCCAAAACCTAGCTCTGATTATTCAGTGAAGTCAGATTTGCCTAAGAGGCCTTCTCATTTTCTGTCAAAAATCCCCAGTGGAAATTTTCCTTGTCCTAACTGTATGTACTGCTATTCTATGATCAAGAGTAATCACTTTACTCATACTAAATCTGCTGCTGACATTTTGAGGTTAGAGGCAGAATCACATGCAACACTACATTTGTGGTTTACTTTTTAAAATGTTCATGTAATTTGTATCATGTTGGGAATACAAAACCAGAGTTAGACTGTGAACGTAATCACGAATACAGGCACTAACCCTACAGGCAACAGGAAGAACCACAGATTGAGTGACCTTCATCACATCGGCACTGACGCCATGAAGATGCCATGAAGGGGTAGTTAAAGAGACAGAATCCTTGTCCAAAGGGAGACATACTGGATGCATTTTCTTAATACCCTCATCCCTAATGGGAGATTTAATTTGCTTGTTCTTTATAGAGTGAATATTTTTAATGAAGTGAATATATTTGTGTTCTTTATGTACTGGATATATTTGTGTTGTTACATGTGTGATGCTCTAATCTATAATAGTATGTGCCATGAAAAATAGTGGCTGCTCCTGCTGGGATGCATTTGTTATGTTGGTGGTTACGTATAATTAACCCCTGGCATTGCCAGAGTACATGCTGAAGAAGGGCGTCTTGCCCGAAATATCCATGTGACGATATTAAAAATTCAAAAAAAAAAAAAAAAAAAAAAATCAAACTGTCTTGATCTTTATTTTATTATAATTTGGTAAACAAATAATGCTACTACTAAACCTTTATGGTTCCAATGTGCAAAAGGTTAACAATCAAGCAGTCCTTTAAAATAACACTTACCCTTTAACCAGTTCTACAGCGATAAAATCATTGCCATCTCCAGAGTTGAAGATTATGAAGCCATCTGGGGAGGTGGTCTTGAATTGGAAGAAGAGGTGCATGGATGTGTAGGCCTGTAGGGTGGCCAGACTCAGATAGCTGCTTTTGGATTTGAAGGTGACAGGATCGGCAATAATTGAACGAATCCCAAAGCGGGCATTGAGCTCGCAATAATCAATGTCACCATTCTTGCACAGGTCGATGTAGAGCATGCCGTTAAATCTGAGGACAGGATGGGAACAGGCACGTGAAATGATTGTCTTAAAAATATATTTTAGCAACTAGGGGGCAGAAGAACTTAAACTAGTGAAAACACTACCTGACAAATCATGTCTTTCAAATATAGAATTTTAATATTTGAATTTACACATTCAACTAACACAGAGCAATATTAGCATTAATTTTAGCATTGATTATTTTGTGTATATGTCCACCAGAAAAACATGAGTCCAGCATTAACTTTACTCTTTGGTTTGATCTCTGCCAACTCCAGAGAAAATCATCTGTCCCCCTTACCTAAAAGAGGTGATAGCATTCTATAGAGCTATAAAACTTGTCATTTAATTTATTGCTAATATTAAACAATTACTATTGAAATGTTTAATATATATATATATATACACTGATCAGCCAAAACATCAAAACCACTGACAGGTGAAGTGATTAACTTTGACTATTTTGTTCCAGACAGTGCTGGGACTGCTGGGAAACCTTTGGTTCTGGCATTCATGTGGATACCACCTGACATGTTCCACCCACTCAAACACCGTTGCAGACCAAGTACCCCCCTCAATGCAACAGTACTCCCCAATGGCAGGGGACCCCCAGCAGGATAATGCACCATGCCACATTGCAAACATCGCCAAGGAATGGCCCAAGGAATGTGACAAAGACCTCAAAGTGTCAACTTGGCCTTCAAATTCCCCAGATCCCAATCTGAATGAGCATCTGTGGCACGTGCCATTAATCCACCTCACAACCCAGTGGACTAAATGGATCTGCCGTCAACACACTAGTGCCAGACAACAGTCAGTTGTCTGACAGTCTGACCAAGTCTGATCCAAGGAGGCCCCACCTTAGATACTGGTACTTGGTCTGCAACAGTGTTTGAGTGGATGGAACATGTCAGGTGGTATCCACACAAATGCCAGAACCAAAGGGTTCCCAGCAGAAGAATGCATTGGAACAAAATAATCAAAGTTATTAACTTCACCTGTCAGTGGTTTTATTGTTTATAT